CTCTCAGGGACTGTCACACTATGAGCCTGGAGGATCGTCCCTTTAAGGCACAACCATCCCTCATGGATTCCCATCTCCTCTACCTTTGGGGCCCTCAGTGCCTCCCCCACTAATATCCTAAGTTCATTGAAGTTGGCCCTTCTGAAGTCAGGGGCCTCGGCACTACCTGATTGAGGCTGGGGTCTGGTGCATCTGGACCCCAACACTGAAGCCATGCACTTGCCCCAAATTGGCAGCAGCTGGCATGGAAGAGACTGGCTGGTGCTGGGAGTATAGGTATGGGAAAGTGGATCCCCCTCTCCCATGGCCCCTCACCTTTGCCCTTCTGCCTCCCTGACAATGTTCACCAGCACCTCCATCCAGTGATCGAGGGTTTTGGTGCTGCACGTGCTCACCTTCACCCTCAGATTGCACATTCTCACCATCACATGGACCACACTGGACCACAAGGGATCCAGCCATTTTTTGATGTCCTCCTTCAGCTGCCTAACCAGTGTCTGCATATCTGATGACAGCAGCTTGCCCCATCCAGGAACACTGATCTTCTGGAACTTCTCCATTTGGTTCTCAAGTTCCCTCTTTATGGGATTCACCTGGATAAGGAGGGCATCATCAGTGCTAAGGATCTCTGTGGCCTCGAGGAAGGACTTGAGGACCACCAAGATCTGAGAGATGGTACCCCACTCAGCTCTGTTCAGGGGCCCGTGGATCCCAATCTCCCCAAGCAAAGCCATCTTATGAATGGCTTTCTGTTGCTCCACCAGCCTTTCTAGCATCTGGTATGTGAAGTTCCACTGAATCTGCATATCCTGCATAATTTTGTGCTGTGGGATGTTCAGCTCTGCCTGTTTGTCCAGCAGCATTTTGCTCCCTTTGATGCTGCAGTGGAAGTAGCCTGCCACCTTTCTGCATTTTGAAATCAGCTGGGTGGTAGTGACGGCATCATCACTGGCAGCCCTGTCCCCCTCCAAAGTGTCCCTGCCTCCAGTCGATATGAAGTGAAACTTGTGTGCCATACAATGGATGCCAACAAAGTTGGCATCACGGACTGCCTGGACCATATTGGCCCTACTGTTGGTGACCATGAACTCACAGGTGAGCTCACCCTGCCCAATGATCCACCCCTGCACCATGCGGTTCATGGCCAGCATGATCTCCCTTTCAGTGTGGGACTCATCCATCACCTCCACTTGAAGGAGAGCTCAACAACAGCCTGACTGATTGCACCAGTGCCCTGTGATGAAGAGGTAGACATGGTCTCCACCCTGGCTGCTTCACACGTCTAAGGTGAAGTTCAGAGCTACCTGCAGACCTGCCTTGTGCAGCTTCTCCCTCAAGTACTCCCTGCATGTCTCATATAGGGAGGGCACCACCATCCTTCTCTGTGATGATGGCTACAACCTGGATACCTGACACATGGGAGATATCAAATTTTAGCCATTTTAAAAAAATGAAATCTTCATAATTTTACAAGAAGGAAGAAAGTTTGACCACCTGAAACCTGAGATCCTGCTTCTGCCTTTGTTCCAGGCAATTTGCATTATCACAGAGCCTCACTGAAGAGCTCAGAGTTACCTTACCATATAAGAAATGCCTGCCCAGAAGAGCATTCCATCTATTTAATCCTCTGTGACATATGAAACACCATAACCAGAAGGAAATATGACTACATCCTGCTTACCACCAAACACGTTGGAGGTAAACAAACTATCCCAACTTTTCTCTGAGCCTAATCTGCATATAAAATGAACTACAGGCAGTCCTCAGACTTACGACACAATTGGTTCCTGAAAACCACGTCTTAAGTCGAAATGTTTGAACTCAAAACCAATTTTCCCATAGGATACAATGTTATAAATGGGGGATTCATTCCTGAACCAAGGCCCGATACCCTATTTTCACCAAAAATAACCCAGAATTTTGTATTCAATCACTTATAGATGAGTAATATAGTTACATGAATGTATTTATGTTGTAAATAGCAATCATATTGATTTGGAAGGACTTCTTTGAGGTGACTTTGGTGGACTTTTTGAAGGGGTCTTGGTTGGACTTTTTGAAGGGTTTTTGACTGGAGTCTTCTTAGGAGTCTTGGCTGCAGGTTTTTCTGGAGTCTTGTCTCCTTTCTTAAAGAAAGTGTCCAAGGAAATTTGGACAGATGCTCTCCAGGGAGATGGGCTACACAGCAAACTTGTTCACTGGCGTCACATCAGATCAAGTGTCAGAAAGTCAAAACTGACATCAGAAAATTGAAACAGGGTCTCAATTTATAAACATTGTAGGTATGAAACATTGTAACTCAAAACATTGCAAGTGAAGGACTGCCTGTATTTCAAGCAGAAGATTTTACCACACCTTCAACTCTCCTGTGAAATATGAACTCTCATTTTTACCAAGGAGAACTTTTACAATCTTTTTCTCAATGCCTGAAGAAGGGTGTTTATACCTGAAAGCTTGCAATTAAAGATTTTATTTTATTTTTTGCAAAAATCTAGTTGGTCTAATAAAAGATATTACCTCTACTATAAGTCCTGATGCTTTTTTTTCCTTTAGACCAATACAGCTACAACCTGGATACCTGTATAAAGATGTATGTTTTCAAAAGAGCTTTGGATTTATGCCCTGTATCAGTCGAGTCAGCCAGCTAGTTGATAGAGAATAAAGTTTTTTGGTTTATATGCAGTGTCAAAACTGCAGCCATAGGTCTTGAAAAGTGTCCCTCAGACTTGCAACAATCCTTTTTTTCTAAGTCCTGAAAGCCCTCACTGGTTCAACCAAGGCTCTGTATCAGAGGCCTGTCTTCACTTTGATTGCTACAGCTAATTATTTTTAATTTGGAGATTAGATCAGTGAACTATGCCAAATTGCTGAGACATTTCTATTCTGCAATTCTGGTTGTGTACATCACCCAGAGAACTATAGCTTTTCCATAGCAAATGGTATTTCAGATTTGTTGTATAATTCTTCAAACAGTGTTTCAGTAGATGTGAAACAGTACATGGCCTCCTTCACAACCTTCTCCACATCAAATGGTTTCTTATTGTGCTAACCATTTCACAGTTTTGAAACATACAGTCATAACTATTTTTGACTAACTGAATTTACAGACTGTTTCCTGCCTCTCCTCTTATCAGTATGAGAAATAGCACTGGCTTTGGTGTGGGGCAAGGGAGGAGGTTTGGGCCCTGAACTGGCATGTGTGAGGGGATTTAAGCCGTGGTGTGACCACCCTCAAATACAAGTGTCAGAAGCCCACACCACAGCCTGTAAAGTAATGGCATCAAATACCCTATGCTTTGGACTAGGTCAGAACTGCAAGGCTCCTTGTAGACAAGATACTGAATGGGATGAAAATGGCAGTGTTTGCAGTAGACATGCAGGATGGTAGTTATGGTGGCAGGGACAATGGCAAGTAGGGCAAGTGGCTGCAAGGCCAGAACAGCCTTCCATCTCCTCCTGCCATGGATGGCCATGTGCACTAGAACCCCAAATTCTGCAGCAGTTTACTCCCCGCTTTATCTATGTCCAAAGTTTCCAGTAGCCTGCCAGTAATCTAGCGGGCCAGATGAAGTGGTTCCATGGGATGGATGGAACTCCTTGATCCTGTAAAAGAGCAAGCATACTATAGGTGGGACTTAACACTGCCTATGTGAAGCCTGGCAGGAGGAATCATGTTTGCTGACCCTGGATTTTGTACAATAACACAGTGAAATTCTGGTGCTTCATAGTGATTCTTTGTTTTCTTTCCATGATTTGGGCTAGCTGCAGCACTATGAGCAGTGCCAGAATAGGCAACGTGTTCTCTATGAGCTAGTTAGGGAACTGGGGAAATGATCTGAATATACAGTAGTCTTCAATTTAAGGATGGCTTAGTCAAGTCTGGTTTAAATCTATTAAAGGATCAGTTTAAGTTAAAATATGGGGGGAAAACCTTACTTTTAAATGGAAATAAAAGGTCCTCTCAGAATTTGTTTACTAGATTTGTTTTAAATGTATGATTTAATTTCAATCAATGTAATTTTCTCATTTAGCAAAGAACATGGATGACATTGTAAAGCACCGTTTTAAATAGATGTAAATATAGAAGTGCAAGGAAGGAGGAATACCATTGTTAAAGAACAGTTGAGAAAATGCGAAAGATTTCATTAGTGTTACCTCACAAAAATTGTAAAAGGCAACTCAGCTTGACAACATCTACAGATTTGAATTCCATTTACTTGCTAAAGAACATTTCTAAACCAAGACACTCAGGGCAGTGTCAAACAAAACAAAAACAAAAACATATTTTGTAGAGGTGCCCCAATACATCAGTCTGATATCAGATCGACACAAATAGAAAGAAAATTTTCTGCATTAAAAATCGGCCCAATGCAGATAATAACTTTTCTGATAAATTCCCATGCATGTGTGCAGTTGCAGCACAGCACATCTCATATTCAGTGAGGAGCAGAGCCGACAGTGTGGAGTGCTAAATGCATCTGGTAAGTCTGGTGTGGTGGAAGGGGAGCGGGGAGGGGGCGTGGCAGGCAGATCAAGGCCCATGGGTTTGGGGTTGGAGCTGGGGTTGGGGCTGGGGCAGGGGCAAGGGCAGGGCCTTCCCAGCCAGGGCCAGGGAAGGTATGGGATGGAGGAACAGCTCGTCAGAGGGGTGCAGGGAGAGGGGGGCTGGGGGGGGGTCCTCCTGCCTCTGTGTGCAGCTCATCTGGTGCTCATCTGGCGGCTCCTGCCGCTGTTCCTGCAACTTGTCCAGGAGGGCACAGAGGGTTGGGGGGGTCATTTGTCCCAGGTCTGCATGGGGCAGGACGGGCTGGGGCCCAGCCAAACAGATCTTCAAGCTGAAGAGCTGTGTATTGGAAATCAGATCGGTATCAGTCGATATGCCTCCTTAAAAATCAGCTATCAGTATCAGCCCCCAAAATCTCTTATCAGCGCACCCTTAATATTTTCTTTTTTATTCTATTTATTCTTAGCAAATGATAATGTTTATGTTGACAAACTGATTATCTGGGAAAGTTTTCCCCAGCTATTGTCCTCCTTAGGCTATCCTTCACCTCTTTGTTCCTCAGGCTGTAGATCAAAGGGTTCAGCATTGGGATCACAAGGGTATAAAATACAGCTGAGATTTTTTCCTGTTCCAGTGAGTAGCTGGAACTGGGTTGGATGTAGCTAAAAGTAATAGACCCATAGAAAACAATGACCGCTGTCAGGTGGGAGGTGCAGGTGGAGAAGGCTTTGCATCTGCCTTCTGCAGAGTGGATCCTCAGGATGGCAGACAGGATGTACATGTAGGAGATGATGACAGTCAACAGAGTTAAGAAGGCTATGACCCCAGAAAAAGCTAACAGAACAATCTCATTTGTATGGGTATCAGAGCAGGAAAGTTTTAGCAATGGAGGGAAGTCACAAAAATAATGTTTAATGATGTTGGGTCCACAGAATGACAATCTCAGCAAGCCACATGTGTGTGTCAGTGAATTGAAGAGACCTCCTATATAGGATATGGATACCAGCTGAATACATGGTGTCCTACTCATGACAGCAGTATAGAGCAAGGGGTTACAGATGGCTATGTAGCGGTCATAAGCCATTGCAGCCAACAAGAACCCTTCTGTGGTAACAAATACCACAAAAAAAAAATATTGAGAAAGACAAGCAGAATAAGAAATCATTTTCTTCTCCACTAAGAAGTTCACCAGCATCTTTGGAGCAAAGACTGAGGAGTAGCAGAGGTCAACAACAGACAAGTTGCTGAGGAAGAAGTACATGGGAGTGTGAAGTCGGGGATCAATCCAGATCAACACAATCATTCCAAGATTTCCTATCAGGGTGATGATGTAGACTAACAGGAACAGCACAAAGAGTGGGATTTGCAACTCTGAACGGTCTGTCAACCCAAGGAGGATGAAGTGGGTTACCATGGTATAATTGCTTCCATCCATTTAAATAGGACTGCGTGATACCTGATGAGAAAATGAACTTGATCAGTATAAAAGAAGAAACAACTATTACATAAGCAGAATCTGACAGATTATGTAAAAGTTTCTGTCAACTAGATTCTGTGGTCCATGACTGCCCATTAACTTAACTAACACCATGGACATTGATGGCTAGGCACCCCAAGACACAAGACTTGTAGTTTCCACGAAAAGCCAGTTTGTTAAGCCTATAGACATGCCTCATCTGATTTTTGGTTATAAAGAACAGAATCTCTTCTCTACAGAACTGAGAAGCTAGAACCCAATGAGATCAGATTCTAGTTCTTTAAAGCAAAAATTTAAAAAAAAATGTCCAATAAATATTCAAGCAACTTCACAAACTGAATGACATTTTGCATACATGTACCTTGAAGTTTAATGTATACAAGATGGGCGAGAATACATTGACAATTAAGACAATTTTTAATTTAATTCTGGCATCTGAAGTTGCATGCATTAGATTTTTCAAAAGTCCTAAAGACAGAAGCAGTTCATTTCCAATAAGAGGGAAACTTTTCCAAGGTTAAGAAGTGGTATGAACCACACAGAGTGATTCAGGCAACCTTTCTGCCAACAGACTTGTTTCTCACCTAATCATATTTCGTTGCACCTTGTCTCATGTCCATTTTTCCTCACAGTTCTTCATGAAACAGCACAGGACAGTCAGGTGGATTTTGTGAGCATTTGGACACTACCTGATCACAATCCTAATTTGTTGGCATTATACATTGTTGTTAATTCCAGGCCTAAAAATTCAAGAGAAATACAATTTCTCTTTAATAAAGGGCAGAAACAATGAGTTACAACTACAGAATACAAGCTGCTTATTCTTGAGCAAAAAGGGATGAGGCTGATATGGGTTATTTATGCTACTATTAAGGGGTAGGCAGACACAGAATCCCTGGAGCACAGCACCTCTCCTAGCCCCAGACTGGGCACAGCTGGGACCATTAAAGTTCCACCTTGGAAGCCTGCAGTAATTGCTCCCCAAAGTTTGTTTTCAATAGGTGTATATGGTCAGCAGGCATGTTTATTTTCCTTTGTTTTGTGTGATTCATAGTTCACCCTGTTTTCCTGAGCCAGCAGATCAAAAATGTTTCACGGTAAAGAAGACCTGTTCTATCAGGTGTAATTAGAGTGGAACTTTTTCCAAGTCTCACTAACTGGGAACCAGTTCACAGTTGTCATGGTTCAGAGGTGTCCACACATAAAGTACCCTGGCATTTCAGATAGAATAGGCACCTGTCAGCCACTGAAGTACTGTAACTCAGGCACCATGGGTGGGAGTGAGCACCCAACCCAGAATGTCTCACAGTGGGAGAGTTAGGAGGGGAGGCAGAAGTTGATGAGCTAGATCCACTAAAGAAGTTCAGCCTCTCAATCCTGAGTCTTGCAGCACCTATCTTTTTGCTCACTTCTACCTACTGAAATATACAGTCCTGTGTTATGTTGGGGAGCAGGAGCGAGGGGAGCAGGGTGCACGTGTGCCACCCACACGTGTACCTGCTTACCTCGGCGGAGGCGGCAGCAGCGGAAGCAGCAGCGGAGGAAGCTAGCGGCGGGGGCAGCAGCAGCTGATTCCCCCCTAAGGTAAGTGGGGTAGAGAGCGCAGCACAGCTGAGGCGGATCCGGAGGGGAAGCCCTTCGGCGACGCCTTAGCTCGCCCGGCAGGGAGCCGCGCTCCCGAGCCGCGCGC